TTTTTTTTTTTTTTTTTTTTTTGTACCAGGGATCAAACTCAGGACCTTGCACTTGCGAGGCAGGCAGCAGAACCACTGAGCTAAATCCCTGGCCCTAGTGCTGCCGTTTACTGCCCCATAGAACAAATCTAAACTTTCTTCAGCAACTGATGCCTCAAATATTCAAAGACAGCTGCAGTGCCTCCTCTGAGTCTCCTCCATGACAAACCCGTTTTAGTTCCTTGAATCTTTCCATATGAGTTGGTTTTTCTCTCACTGTGGATACTTCTGAGCCCTGTGCCTCATGTATAAGCATACATGGGAACATGCTAGCCTGCTGTAAAGAGATAACGAGAGGGCAGGTTTTAGGTGCTATCCACACTGAATGAGCCTGGGCCTGCTTCCAGCACTCATGTGAACATTTGAATGCATATGCTACAAGTTATTTTCTCCTGATTTTCACCATAGAATTAGGGAATATGAGTACTCCTGCTGTCGTAGCTGTGGTGGGCTTGCTTGTATTAGTACTGCCAATTTTTTATTTTCTTTTTTGCTACCAGGGATTGAACTCAGGACCTTGCTCTTGCCAGACAGGTGCAGTGCCACTGAGCTACATCCCCAGCCCTTATCTTCTCTACTTCTGACGTTTTTCCATGAGACTTTGAAGTTCTGCCCTTTGAGTTCAGATTCAGCACCGTGACTTCCTTGGGCTGACAGAATGAGGCAGGACAGCAGCCATTTGCAAGCCTGGTCTGAGAGGCACTGTGTACTCCCAGTTACTCTTCAGAGTCCTGTCAATGGCATGAGAAGAAGCTACTCCCACCAGCCTACCTGCGCAGGGTAGCTGGGACACATTGGAGTAGGGGCCCCAGCAAAGCCCAGCATCTGTCTGCTGGCCCCCAGCTTATGCACAGACACTTAAGTAAAAATAAACGGTTACTGATTTAAGTCACTGAGTTTTGGCCTGGTTTAGTATATATCATCTTGTGGCAAGATATAATTATTACAGAAATTATGTGGACCAGTAAATACAGAGAAGGCAACATTAACCCTTCCTCATCAGAGTATAATTTCAGAAGAATTAATGGGAGATTTGCAGAAATATTAACCAGCTAGATGAACAATTCATAAAAATGTTTTACCAAACAGCAACTTTGAGTTTCTTTCGAAAACAGTGGCCAAGAAGAAAATAAATATGTGTACTGTCTCATAAATGAAACAGCTAATGACTAAATCAAACTCAATATCCCAAAAGACACGAAAAGTTCAGGAGTTTCCCATTTGATGATAACAGTTCATTCATTCAGTCAGCACATGTTTGAACAAATACCCACCATGTGTCAGCTCCGTTCTGGGCCCTGGAAGTAGGTTGTGGAAAAAGTGGAAGGGGCCTATAAACTTAGGGTGTCTGAGGTGTAGGCAGAAGCATGGAGAGAGGTAATCTGGTGCAGAACGAAGTGGGCAGTGCTCAAAGAGGCCAGGACATGTGCCGCCCTGTGGGGCCCAGTGAGGGATTTCACACAAAGAGGTTGCAGTTCATGTAAGTGTGTCGAGCGCATGGCCTGCTTCCTAGGCTCCGAGGCTCTCTGCTGTCTGCTGTGGGGAGAATCGATTATTGGTGGACAAGAGCACAAGCTGGGAAGTCAGTTCAGCCACTTCATCACGGTGGCTGCAACTAGAGAAGAGTGTTGCAAGGATGAAGCGAGGTAAACAGGCTTGAGATATATTTTGGAAGTAAAAATCAAGATTTCCTGATGGGATGGATATGAGTTACAGCAAAAAAACAAAGCATGACTCCTTGGGTTCCAGTTTGGGTAACTCAGAAGGTGTTTAGCAGTGCCACATCTGGGGATAAGAAAGAAAGGAGGAGGGATGTTTTGTGCAGATGATTAGATCTCTAAGAGGATCTGTCCAGTAGGCTGCTGCCCATACTCACCTAATGGTCAAGGCTGAAGATAAAAGTTGGGCAGTCCTCAGCACAGAGCTGGTATTTCAGTTGAAGGACTAGATGGGTTCAACTAGAAAAAGTTAAAAAATTTTAAACTATAGGAAGTTTTAAATTTTTAAAAATTGTTAGAAAAAAGAAGTGGGAGGATTATGCCTTCAGAGCATGCTGACATTTAAAAGCCCAGCAGAGGAAGAGGAGACAGAAGAGGCTGAGAGAGAAGTGAGAGCTCGTGAGGCTGTAGAAGCCAAGAGAAGGGAGTGTTCCAGGAAGAAAACCAGCTCCCTGGACTGCGCTCGGGGGGCGGGGGAATGCAACTGAGTCACCAAGTGAGATGGGACAGAGAAGTGACAGCTGGATTCAGCAGCGTGCCGTTGGTTGGTAACTTTGAAAATGGAAGACGTAGTGGAATGGTGGGCACAGGGGTGAAATGGAATGGGAGGCGAGAGGGGGTGACAGCAAGGTTGTGCTGAGAAGATCAACAGACGTGCAGAAGAAGGCAGAGAGGATGAGAGCTTAAGGTGCTGTTTTATTTCATTTTGTCTGAAGTAGGAGATGCAGGGGCACACTTGAATGCCAGTGGGTGCGCGTATTTATTATGCATCATAAACATATACTACTTTCACAAAGGGATGAGATAGATAAATAAATACGAAGGGATGAATGAAGGAATGGACACCAGTGGAAGTTAAGTCAACAGGGAGAAAAGCTGATACTGCAGGAGAGCAAGTAGGCATCTCTGAGAAGAGAGCTGGAGCACAGCGGGTATGGCAACCTCTGGAAGACTGGTCTTCCTTTCACTGTGAAAGGGGACACTAGCAGTCCAGCACCAGTGGGTGGATTTGGCAATGGGGAGGGGAGAGATACCGTCAGTTTACTTGAATTCTCTCATCAGACTGCCTTTAGCTCAGGTGTGGAGCCAGGACCTCTGAGCCCGCGTGCACTATGACCTTCATTTACAATTTGGTAATCTTGAAACGGTGAAAGTGATAACCACGTTTGTGTAATATACTCTAAAGAACAATACAGATGCTACACATTTAATGTGTACTCTTTCAGTTGATACCTTCTTCCAAATCACAAGCATTCATCCGGGAACGGAATTTACTCAGTGTCTGTGCATGGAGGCACCTGAACGAAGGGCCTACTCACAGAAAGAGAGGGGAACGAAGGCATTCTGAAAGTCATCACTGTCCTGAGGACCACTTATAACACTGTGAGATCCCAGGGAGAGCTAGAGCCGGGAAGGCAGGGCCAACCAGTGTGCTCATTCACTGAAGAGACAGGTCGCCACTTTAGGGAAATCGGTGTCCAAGCAGAGAGACGGTAAGAAATATTCTGACTGCTCTATTTCTCTGCTAGTCTCTTGCTACTTACTGATGGCTGAACCCAAGCTGAAGGCAGCTGGCAAGGAAGCCAAGGTGATGGGATTTCACAGTGAGTCCCAAAGCACAGCTCGGGCAGTAAATAACCTGCACATCCCCTAATACTTGGAGCCATTAATGTTGAAAGGCTTTGAAAACTGCCCCATGCGAAAGTTTCCTATCAGAGGCCTGTGTGTAGAATGCTTCTTATCATTTGGTACTAGATGGGATTTGGAAGCCCAGCTATGCTCTTTGATGCAAATCATTACAGATATCTGTAATCTACTAACAGTCTCCGAACGTAATGTTTGTTTCTAGCCTTCTTTGTTTCCATCCAGAGGAACACTCAGTCATACAACTAGTCACACAACTTTCATTTCAGTGCCCCTTGCTTGCACGAGCCCCTTCCAGGGCCATGAGAGAACCCTAGACATGTGTTCAGATGATCACGTTTTTGTAAAATTTTTGAAGATAATAGTGTTTTAAATGCGATATATTCACACTCTGACCTTAGAGGGTCTCTGCACACTCCACTCCACTACATGTACTTTTAGCTCCACTAAACCTGGACCCACTTCTGCTTCACAGTCATAGATGTCTCAAGGCAGATTTCTCTCACCTTCAGGGCAGCATGATCAGTGGACTGCAAAGTGGACATTTGGCAGGGGAAAGTGTAGCAGGAGAATCAGAAAAGCTAGGGTGGAGTGTAGTCCTGGGCAGTGTAAGGAAAGCACTGTCCCCGGCCACCACCTAGTAGTGAAGGGTGCCAGGTGTCCCCAGGAACCTGCTTATGTGCAGGGCTGGACTGAGAAGCTGCTCTTTGTATTTTCAGATGCCGATGGAAACCTGTGTCGAAGTAACCAACTGCTACAAGTCATGCTGACCATGCACCGCATCGTCATCTCCTCTGCGGAACTGCTCCAGAAAGTTGTGACCCTATATCCTTGCTCAGAGTGACTGGAACCCCGAGATGGGACTTGTTCCAAATGTAGCTTGAAATTTGAAGCAGGCTTTATCTTGATTGTTTGGGAAGCACTCTGCGTGGAAAATGGGTCCATGTATGACTGGATATGTGTGTGTGAGTGTGTTCATATGTGCTTCTTCTTTTGTACGGGGCAGTAGTGCTCTGGGAGGTGCTCACAGAAGTCACCTGCAGTCTGTCCGGCTGGTAAAAGCTGTTGCTTGTAGAGTCGTCAGGATCCACAGTCATCCTGTACCAGCTGACAAGGGCACCAGCAGGCATGTAGCAGTGCACTCCTGCCCAGCTTTCCTTCCTGCCTGGCTTTCCTTCCTGACTCTTCAGCCCTCCCTGTCTCTGGAGAAAGCTTGCTGTGGCTCTACCATCTGGAAGACCTGCTGGGACCTTCTTGCCAGGCAGGGGCATCGGGGATGCCCAAAGCAAGCCCTGCCAGGTGCTAGCCTTCTTGTGGGTGTGATGGGGGGTACTTTCCCTTTCTCACTGATGACGCTGCTGTGGACCCAGAGGAAAAGGCCTGTAAGGGAGGTGAGACGGTTTAGTGCCGAATGCACGTCCTGGAACTGAGTCATGACTTGTGGCTGCTCTAATCCTTTACCAACCTGCTAACACCTCCCAGCTCCTCTTATGGCCATCAGAAAAACTAGATACTAAATCCGAAGACAAAGAAGCCCATTGGGCATGAATCTCTTCCCTAACCCCACTTGTGAATCTTATCTCCCATCTCCAAAGCGCCGGTTCCAGGGGCACACTGCGGAAGGAGCTCAGGGTGGAGTTAGCAATGACAGGTCCAGAAGCACACAGGCACCTTGTCTGCAGAGTCTCTTGAGACCTTTCAGCAGCATCTCGAAGGCTGTCGGATCTTCATTCTCTCGATGTACCGGTGATTGCCAACAATGTGGGTGATCAGTTATTCCTCCCTGAAAATGCATCTGGGGGCTGCCCTGCCAGCGCTGTCGCCCAGCGGCCCCTCTGCCACGCATGTTCCCTCTGCTCCTCACAGACCCACTCTGTGCCAGTTGCCCCTGTCTCTCCTAGACTCCTAGACGCTGCCTCTTCAGTGGTGACCTCCTCTCCAGCCGCAACACCCTTAAGTGTCCCCAAACTAAAACTAATCTTGTTGCCCTGCTTCCCCTCGTTCCATTGCTAGGGTTATAAATGGGAGGCCAAAACATCTTAAAATAGTTTGCAGTCACTATCTCTGATCTCTTCACTCCTTCTCACCCCTTAGCTCAACTATGGCTCCTCCTAGAGCACTCAGACTTTCCTCTGATGTCACCAGTGACTTAACCAATTGCAGTCCCAGTGCTTCTCCTATCGGACAGACAGCCGTTGCCTTTCCGGGGAGCTCTGCCCAGGACTCCGTGCCGCTTCTCTGAGCTGCCTTTGAATTCGGGATAGCATCCAGTCTCCCTCTCACTTGGACGGCTTTTGAGAGTGCTTCTGCCCCGGATGTCCACCACTGCCCTTCTGTGCTGCTCACTTTTAAGAGGTTTCTCTTCTAACCTCAACCACATTTTGAATATCTGGACTACATTTTTCTGCTGACATGTTAGCCATACTATGTTCAAATACCTTAGTCTGTTCCCGGGCTCACCCCCAACCCCAGCCATATTAGTTGTGCTCTGATATCTGCATTTTCGTTTTCCATTTCAGGTGCGATATCATTACCAGTTGCCTAAACCAGAAATGTCAGAAGCAGTCTTGGCTTCTCCCTGCCCTTCACCTCCCACAGACTCTGCCACCCCACCCTAGGGTTTCTGATTCAGAACTGATTCTTCCCTGGTCTCTCTCCATTCCTGTGCTGTGGTTTAAGTACAAGTCCCCCTGTCTCTCCCAGACCTCTGCCCCCTACTGGCCATCTCCTCTGTATGGTCCCCCTGCTATTTATTATTCATATTGCCGTTCTTTCCTTAAAATCAACCGGGTAGACGGTTGCTTCACAACCTCTCCCAACTACAGGGCTCCTGTGTGACGACTCAGCTTGCCAGCCAAAGTCTTGGGGGTCCCACCCAGGTAGCCCCTTCTGCCTCACCCTGTAGCTCTCCCAGGGCCCTTCCCCTCCACACTGGACCTCTCAGCGCTCCAGATGTTACGGGCAGCTCCCAGTCCCTGGGCCTGTGAAACACTTCCCTTCAGGACCCTCCAAGGGGCTTTTTCTGACTTTCCAGCCCTCCTTCACTTTAGAAAGTGTTTTAAAATAGTCTTCTGGGTTGAAAATCTATTTGATTTCTTTCTCTTTAGTTTTACTTGCTTATGTCAAAGCCTGCCTGCCTCTTTCCTCCCTCCGCTCTTTCTCCCCGTCCCTCCTCCTTGTGACAGACCACCCCATTGATTATGCTCAAAGCAGGCAGTAAGCAGTGTAGGCTGTGAAGAGTTAACCCTGCACTTGGCTTATTTTAAGAAGTGAGTCTGATCGAAGCATGGGAGATAACACGCAGCCAAGGTCAGAGTGACTCTTACCCAAGTTCTGTTCCCAGCCTAACACAAGAATGCTTTGTCTCTTCCTTTACAAGCCTTGCCTGCATCAACAACATATCTCTGGGAACCACACGTAGCCCGCTGACCCCAACCTAACAACGACTGTGTCACCAATAAATATTGATGGTTCTGGCTGTTCAGGGCCTTTGCTTTCTCAAGCCTTCACTTGCTCAAGCACTGGTCATCCCAGATCTCCGTCTCTGTCTCTAACTCTGTCTCTGTGTCTTTCTTCTCACCATGCAGCATGGCACCCCAGCAGGAGGTCAGGAACTGCTGCAGGGTTCTCTGATTTCTTTCTCATCTGGATGTATTCTGGCTCAGAAAGCTTTTTGCCTGTGACTACAGAAAGTGTCGAGTGTTTTTAATGTGCTCATTAATTAGTTTATCTAACTGAACTTGAGTCTGTAAGTTTTAGGATGCTATAAAATGGCTTTCTCAAGTACTGTAACTTATAAAAACCTTGTGTCTAGATGCTGAATTTTCTAATGATAGGTTGCAAAGGTACTGCAAAATTAAATTACAAATTAAAAAATGTAAAGAATGCATACTTTATTTATTTGCATATCATTTTCTCCAGCAGATTGTCCTCCAGGGCAGGGAATAAGGCTTATTTATCTTTGTTTCTCTTAATTCAGTGACCATCTCGTGGTAGGGTGCAATAAATGTTGCATTATTATTATTATTATTATTATCATTATCATTATTATATTATTATTATTATTACTATGGTACTGGGGATCGAACTCGGATCCTTGCACTTTTGAGGCAGGCAGCAGAACCACTGAGCTAAATTCCTGGCCCTAAATGTTGCATTACTATGGGTGTAAATTTTGGTATTTGCATATTATGGGTATAAACATTGGAT